ATGAGCCCTCAGTTCTGACCTGATTTTTGTCCCCTGGGAAATGCAATACCACTTCCGGAGTCTGCTTAAACCACACAGGGGCTGTTGTATAAGGATATTTCAGGGACTGGAAGCTATTGAGTGTCTACATTCTAGTACCTGATTTTTTTTTGTGCTGCTGCATGTCAGTCAATGTTTCCCCCTGCTTCACATCACCGAAACAAAGGACTAATGAGTCAGTCACTATTCGGAACTGTCAAGTGTGTTGGGATGCCCTATAACAACATTTTAGAGGCAGTGGGAATAGTGGGAATAAGAGAAAGAAGGTCTCATGAATTTTAGGTAATAATTCACAGATTAACCCATTGTCTACTACAGGCCAAGCAATTTATTCTTCCATTCAGTCTTTATCTTTAGCACTGTGACCTAGGCATTAATTATCTATATTCTTTAAGATGTATTTTATTTTACTTGTCTGTGTGAATGTATGCCACATGAGAGCAGATGCTAATGGAGGCCAGAAGAAGGGAATGGGATTCCCTGAGGCTAGAGTTCCAGGTCATTGTGAGTTGTCCAACATGGGTTCTGGGAACTGAACTTGAGTCTTCTAAATGATCATCAAGCAATCTTAACCCCTGAGTCACTTTCCAGCCATAACCACTTCTATTTTAAAGGAGAAAACTGAGGCTTTCAGGAAAGTGACTTACACAAGAGCCTCAATGCTAGTGAGTTGCCACTGGACCTTAATTGGATCCTTTGGGGTTCAGATTTCTTCTATTTTAATTTTTTTGTTATTATACTATTATTTATTACAATTTATTCACTTTGTATCCTTGCTGTGGCCCCCTCCCTCATCTCCTCCCAGTCCCACGCTCCCTCCCTCTCTCCTTCCCTAAGTCCCTCCCCTAGTCCACTGATAAGGGCTGTCCTCCTCCCCTACTATCTGACCCTAGCCTATCAGGTCTCATCAGGACTGTCTGGATCCTCTTTCTCTGTGTCCTAGTAAGGCCGCCTCACCAGGAGGAGGTGATCAAAGAGCAAACAACCAAGTTCATGCCTCTGACTGCCCCTGTTACCCTTACTAGGGAACCCCCACAGAGACTGAGGTGGCTAGGGGCTACATCTGAGCAGGGGGTCTAGGTCCTCCCCATGCATGGTCCTTGGTTGATTCATCAGTTTTTGGAGGACCCCCTAGGCCCAGATTTTTGGTTCTGTTGTTCTCCTTATGGAGCTCCTGTCCCTTCCAGGTCTTTCTATCTCTCCCTTCTTTCATAAGATTCCCTGCACTCTGTCCAAAGTTTGGCTATGAGTCTCAGCATCTGCTTCAATACCTTGCTGGGTAGGGTCTTACAGGGGCCCTCTGTGGTAGGATCCTGTCCTGTTTCCTGTTCTTCTTAATACCACTCTCCATTGGAAAGTCTGGCATACTCCATGCTGGGAAGTTTGTCACACATACCTTATAAAACGTGTACAGGGCTTAGTTCTTAAGAAAGAGCACTTGCTGCTCTTGTAGAGGAAGAGGGTTCATTCCCAACACCTGCTCAGTGGCTTGCAAACATCTATAAATCCAGTCCCATGGGATCTGACAACATTCTGACCTCCATGGGCACCATGCTCTTGTATGATACACATACATACCTTTAGAAAAAAAAAAACTCATATAGGTGTGTGTGTGTGTGTGTGTGTGTGTGAGAGAGAGAGAGAGAGAGAGAGAGAGAATACATAAATAAAATTTAAAATCATACACTCTTATTCTACTTCAGCCACAAATGATTGTCTTACTTTGAAAATGGAATGGAAAGATCGGTCCAATTCTTAGAATAGCCTCATGAAAAAATGAGACAAGATAGAATTTGTACAGAGCTGACATTATTCCCAGGACTAAGGCTCTGACTGGTGAAGGGTATTTAGCATCTCTCTACTTTTGGGCTAGACAGAGCCTTTTTACTGAGGAAGCTACGAAGGTGGCATCAGGCTATTAATGGGGAAAGCATTTACTTTAGATTACTAAGACTGTAAAGTAGATCGGAGGCCCTCTATGACTGGCTATTAGAGATGTTAATTAAATATTTATAATATCTAAATTAGCATAGTGAAAGCTCAATTCATCAATTTGTTCTAGTCTGTTTGTAAGGGGGGGGGAGAAATAACTCCAAATGTCCCTGAAGAAAGATGCTATGTGGGTCAATAGAAAGATGACAGAACACTTGATTATGATTGTGGTAAACTTTTTATTTTGATTTTATTTAAAGGTACTTGCAGCACCTTACCTTAAATCATTTACCACAGTCAATATGCTGGAGTGCCATGCATTATTCATTATTACCTAATGAAAAATTTGCTAAGGTACTTCCATGCTGAATGCCTGATTGATTAATTGATTACTTGATAGTTACTTCCAAAAAGTAGGGGCTAGATTTCATGTGAAGAATTGGGCACTAGAGGCTGAAGTCCAAGGCATCCTCTATTGCTGCTCAAAGACCTAGTTATTTCTATATCTTGCAATGCCACCCCGTTAACTGAATGTTTTTGTTTTTGTTTTTTGCTTCGTGGCTAGTAATTGAGAGAAATAATTGGCTCTTCCACTGAATCTGCTAAGTGACTGCTTCTCCCTAGTCCTCTGTGGAGAAAGGAATTTGAATACCTAAATGCCCATGGCTTCTGGATCCCTAATGTGCTCTATTCTTATGATTCATAACAATTATATTCCTCATCTCATTTTTTTAGTAAATAGAATTTGCTTATTTTTTTTTCTTTATGCGCCTGTTTGTGTATGTGCATATGAGTGTGGTGCCCAAGAAAGCCAGTAGAGGGCATCAGATTCCCTTGGAGCTGTATGTAGTTGATCAAAGTTGTGAGCCTTGGGTATTCTGCAAAGAGCTGCAAGTGTTCTTAAGTGCTGAGCTAGTTCCCCGGCCCCTCTTTATCTCATTTAATTAAGAGGAAGACAAGAAAGGCAACTGACATATTTTTAAGTATAAAGGAGACAGGTTACTCAGTAGACCCCTTCACCAGAAGGAGATGTCTAGCTACCTGAAGCTCATCTCTACTCAGCCATGTATGGGTTAGCACCCTTCTAAAGGAAGTCTGCAATTTTTACACACACACACACACACACACACACACACACACACGCACTACACACTGGTCTGACGGGTCATTTATTAAATATCTCCCTTTCCCCAAAAATGAAAACCCTAAAAAAAAATTTTTTTTTGAAGTAAGACTTTAGGAAGACCCTTCAGTTAGTCTGCTATAGTGACTGTTAGTCTGTCTTCTAGGTATGTCGTTTGCACTTCCTGAGGATTAGTGAGCAGATCTCTTTATAGGACTACATCTGTCTCTCTCTCCCACAATCTGTCCTACCCTAGGGGGAGGGCTGGCGGGAAAGGGTTAAAGGTTCTCTGGTCAAAATAGCCCAACAGAAGGGGCCCCGGCCCAGAGCTGAAATCTAAGTCTAATGACCGCTGCCCTTCACCTCGCTGCTGTCCACAGGCCGGACCTGCGGCCCGGTGGGGGCCAGGACCAGGACAGGACACAATGTTCTTCGTTTAACATTTGAACTTCTCCTATCCGAGGCAGCAGGCCGTTTTGTCCTGGGGTCGCTGACCCTCGCTCCCCCATCAGCTGCCCTGAAACCTTAATTGAATGACAGATGGTCATTTTCGGGGGCGCCAGAAGCTGCGCAGGCCAGTGCAGGGGCTCAGGCCGGGGCAGCCTTGCTTGGGCTCTGCCTGCCGGGGGTGGGCTGCCGAGGCGGCCTGCGGCCTGCAGGGCCTGGGGAGGGGGGACCTTGGGCTAGGTCACAGCGGGCCGCACTCTAGGAGGAGGCCACGGCCTGGGGGGGAGGGGGCGCTTCACCGGGTCCTAGCGCCTCTGTCTGCCTGCCAAGTAAAAGGCTCCATGCAGCCCGGAACTGACTGTATGCCCCCCCCCCCGGCATTTCATTTCTAGGCCAAAGGCTGGCGTCCAGGATTTTCTGTAGACACGATCTGATACGTGTGCACCCCAGACTCGGCTCCTAGGGCCGAAAGGCTCAGGACCCACCTGACCCCGCAGAGACCAGGTCTGTAGAAGGGCTTGATCCCGAGCTGCCTGCTCTGCTGATCCTACCTCCAGATCTGCCTTTCCCAGACAGAAGCCAGGAGGGCCTGGCAAGTCCCAGGGGGCTCATGTGCTGCCACCATCCCACTGTGGAGAGCTCTCAGGATTCCCTGGTTTTATAGAGATAGTAGGTAGATAGGTAAGTAGATGGATGGAGGGATGGATGGAGAGAGAGAGAGAGAGAGAGAGATAGGCCCAAAGGCTCCTGGAGGCACCACTACCCAGCCCCTTGGCCTCTGCCGCCCGCCTGCGTCCCAGTGTCCTATTTCTTTAAAATAAAAGCTGCGAGTCCTACAATTACTGGGATTACAGTGAGCGAGTATTGATCTGCAGCCTGCATTGTAGGATAAAGCAGACTGTCGGAGGCAGGCATGCAACCCAGCCACCGCCAACCCCTCCACCTCCTGGTCTTGCAAAGCTCTATAAAGATATATTTTTACATTTATATGTGTGTGCGTATATGTATATATGTGCGTTTCTAAATGTTTTATTTCAGACACACCATTAACATCTGCAGGGAGAAGGGAAGAAAGAAAGAAAGAAAGAAAGAAAGAAGGAAGGAAGGAAGGAAGGAAGGAAGGAAGGAAGGAAGGGAGAGAGAGAGAGAGAAAAGCCCAGCCATCACACCTCCCTTGAGCCCTTGGGACTTCCAGGACTGAACCTGCTAGAAAAAACACCTTCAGTGCCCACCCCAGACACACACACACACACACACACACACACACACACACAGTGTTTTTAATGCTTTTTTTTTTAATTACTGGGGAAAATATAAACATAAGCAAAAAATAAAATAAAATAAAAAATCCTCCCTGCAGGCGTGAGCGGGGGTGGCGAGCAGGCCGGCGAAGGCGGTAACGCCAGCCTAGCGCGCGGATAGCTGACATCAACTTCCGTCAGGCGGCTCGGGGAGATCGAACCTTTCGATTGTAACTGGGACAATTTGCATAGTGATTCCCTTTCAGAGCCTTCCCGGGCCCGTAACGAGCGCAGGCAGCTATTCAAATGCAAGTTGCGTTCCCAAACGCGCGGCCGGCCTGAGCCAAAGCCAGCGGCTCGGCGGACGCCGGGCGAGCCGAGAGCGGCGCTCGGGTTCTGGGGTCACCTCCCTTCTCCGGGCTCCTCCCGGGCTCTCCGGTTCCTGAATTAGCCGTTCGTCCACGGCTACAGACGCGTGTGTGCCAGCGAGCCAGCGCGGCGAGGGAGGGGACTGAGCCCTACCGGGATCAAAGCTGGAGCCGAAGGAGTGCGTGGGGACTTGGGGTTCTGGGGAGGGGAGAGGCTGGTGGTCTCTCCCTGGCCCGCTTCTCTACACCCCGCAAGCTTGCAGCAATCCCCAGGCCTCAGAGAGGCCGGGAGGCCGCTGCGTCCTGGTCTTTAAAATAAACGCAAATATATATATATAATATATTATGTATATTATATATTATATATATATATATGTATGTATATAGGTACCTGCGACGCGCACTGGTGACTTTTTTTGGTTGTGCACCAGGAGGGCATGGGGTGACTTCTAGGGGGAGGGGGTGGGATTGGAAACTTCAAAACTGAGCTCTCGGCCTCCTCCTCGGTTCCCGTCTGAAATTACGCAAACTGACTCGGGGTCCCCCTCGCTCCTAGGAGGCGAAGCCGCCCAAAACCTTGTCGCATGTCCCCCAGCAACCCGCCCGCGACATCCGCCAACGCCAAGGCGCGCAGACAGACTCGCCCTTCGCCATAGGTAAGCCTGGGCCTTGGGCAGTGGGCCGGGGAGGGGGGTAGTCCGCGCGGCCGGCCATGCGCTCCCGGGCGTGGGAGCCCCGGGTGGGGAGGGCAGAGGGCAGGGCCCGCGTCACGCCCGGGGCTGGGGAGGGAGCGGAGAAGAAGGGGAGCCCCCTCCCCCCGACCCCATTCCGCCTGCCCCCCCCCCCCCCCCCCCCCGTGGCCCCCCTTTCCCCCCCCCCGCTTTTAAAGCAGCAAATGAGAGCGGGGAGGCGTCCTCTCTCCCGGAGTCCGGGGATGGCGTGCCGCGGTGGCGAGGCGGGCACGCGAGCGCGGCTGGGCCCCGCGCAGCTCAGTGTGTCTTGTGCCAACGGGGCGGGCGGGATTGGGGATTGGCGCGGCCCCCAGCTGGGGTCCGTCTGTTCTCCCCTCACGTCTATTTGACGTTTCTTACATGGCCCGGGTTTTTCCGTTGTCACCCCCTCCCCAACCTCACCCAACCCTTCTAAGGACAGTCCTGGCCGCTGACCTTGAGACTCTAACTGTCGTGATATATAAACTATCTCGTTCTCTTCAGCGGTTACCGAATCTGTGTTCTGTTTGTTTGTTTTGTTTTTTAAGTATGGGGGGGGGGTCGTTTAAACCTGTAGACGTAGCCGGGCGCGTTTTCAAACCTTCGTCTCACATCACTTCCGAGCGGAGGGCGCTCGGGGGGGTGCCTGCTTCGTGCAGAACGCACGGAGTATCCTGCCCCCCACCCCGTCGGCTTTCTGTTTTAGCGTTCTTTGAGAAACGTAAACTGTTTCCCCGTTCCTTTCATAACCGATTCCTTAGCAACCAAAGCAGTGGAAGCGTGTTTGAGATCGAGCGGGGAGAAGAGCAGACAGGTTGGGACAAATAAATTCAACAGAAATTGAAGGCAAATTGGACAAAGCAAATGAAAGTATGAAAGAGATGCTGGCAAATAATATCGGGGGGCGGGGGGGGATTTAAAAACTGAGGTTTCTCCGCAACACAAAACGAAGCCGAAAGAATGAAATATGTGGCCTTGCCCTTGAGTGTCTACCCGGAGACCAGAGGCCTGCCCGGAGCCATCTTGGTCAAGTGTGCACTCCGAGGCTGTCAAAAGACAGAGTCACTTTGAAACGCTTGCATACACTTTCCGTAAACTACAACCAATTAGGGGACCTTTAGTTCTGGCGGGAAACTATTTTAATTTTATTCCTGCCTTTGGGGGAAGAAGAAAGCCCAGGCAGTTAAGTTATTACCGGTTCCTGTGGAGTTAATTTAATGCAAATAGTCTTCTCTCCTGTCAGCACGGAAGAAAGTAGAGGCCCCGGGGGTCAGGAAGGGCTGGTCAAATAGTGAGGAAACCTGGTGGCTCTGGGGACGGACTTAGCCTTAGTACCATTGGGCTGGTTGCTTCTCTCCCTCTCCTAAAACTGTAACTCAAGATGTAAGTAAAAGTGTTTTCATTTTTTATTGATCCCACTAACATCTTTCATTATCCAGCATGTAGCCACAGCAAATTATTGCTCATTTGATACCCAGAATTCTATTGACCACGGCTTTCGTCGGAGAGAGAATTCTAACTACGGGCTCCTCCAGGCTCAGAACTGAGGTTGGAAACAAGCGAATCCAGCCCTGACCAGCAGGAACGGATGGAGATGTGACATGGAGACACGTGGGCAGGCATAGAAACCTGCTTTTTACTCTGCCTGCTCTGCCCTCCCCCCAATTCGGGGGTGGGGGAAGTTGACCCCTTTGGAATAGATTTGCTCACTTGGAAGGCTGGATGTTCGTTTGGCATGTTCTTTCCGGCTCTAACCAGGATGAGGAAGAAAAGGAGACAATGGAAGATTGCTCCTCAGGCTATTGGTCAAAGCTGGCCCAAGGTGGAACTGCCTGAAGAAACACTGAACAAAAGATTTCTTGACTTTGCTATATGAATATCATCTCCTAAATTTCCACCCCCTCTCACTCTTTCAAAGACTGTACAGCATTACAGAGTGGCTAGGGAGGAGTCGGCATTCTGAGATCTGAGTCTGGCTGGCAGTTGACAACCGGCCTCCATGACAAGAGCCATGTTCAACCGTGTGGCCAAGGCGCCTCTGCATAGGAGGCACCACAAAGACCAGAGAATATCTCATATCTGACCTTTGAGCCTGGAACTCATGGCTCCAGGGTTGCTGGGGAGAGGTTGCTTCTCCCCAAAATGAGGCTGGAGAAGACTTTGCCCTGGAGGGCAGCGGGAAAGGCCAGGTGGGTTCCTCCAGAAGCTGGTCTAGGATTTTGCCTTACAGTTTGCAAGGAGTTGATGCTGCACCCAAGTAGGAGACCCAAAGGCTTGCCCTGCCAATGCCCATCTCCTTCCTGGCCTAGAGAGGGGCCCACACCTCACCTGCCTCACCGCCTCTATCTGGGAGAAAGCCACCCCAACTCAAAAGAGAGCAAGTCCACCTGGGTCAGACCACAGAACCTGTCAGACTTCCAAGGAGCCAGCAATTCATACCCTACTCTTCCTTCAGTCCTGACACCTGGAGCGTTTATGGAGGAGATGGCTGGCAGGAGATGCATTTCTACAAATACTAGGAGCTAAATAAACCCTCCAGGCTGGTTTCCAGACAAGCAACAGGAACAACAAAAAGAAGCAATTAAAGATTTTTCTAAATGAGTCCCAGCGTGTGCCGCCTGGCTCTGAACCTGAAGGTGTATTTAAGCTCTAAGGGACCTGGCTGGGTAGCTTTTCTTTCTTTCTTTCTTTCTTTTTTCCTAGTGGTACTGCTAAATGCCTGTGAAGCCACGTTGTCTCAGAACAAGGCAGTGGAAATGTAGGCGTGGGCACTGTAGACAACGTTCACAGCCTCGAGTGTGGGAGAAGTGGAGAAGCTGCGGTAGATTTGGGACACTCAGCTTGAAGATGATGGAAGCGTGGAGGGAGATTCATGGTGGCTCTTTCGGTTTTCTTTTTCCTGTAGATTTTAACACAAACAAAACCCGGCTGTTGATGCAATCGTAGCATGTTCAGTATAGTATATTCCTCAAGTATACTCACAGCCGCTACACGTGAAAACAATCTAGCCTAGGCTGGTGTGGAAACAGACAAACACGTTGCTGATCCCAGCACAAGCTCTGAAAACAAAAACAAACAAACAAACAAGCAAACAAAACCCCACACACTGACAGGGAAGAGGAGACTGACTCCAAGCAGTCCTTCCTAGACGGGTAGGTGGCTGAGTGCTGGGGCCTTTGAGTCCAAAGAAAGCAATCTAGATCTCCCTGAACTGAGAGTTACCTTGGCAAACAAGACTTGAGACCTGGGGTGAGGTCATATTGGGGTCACCCAGCCCGCCTTTGGAGCCACGTCTGAGCTGAGAACTTCTAAGCTGGACTCAGTTGCTTCCGACTGGAGATTGGGAAATCTCTTTCCCTGGCTTGTGGAGCGGCAGTCAAGTCCTGAGTTAGGATGCCGCCACCTCTCCGGGGGAGGTGGGTGGGGGCTCCTGGCCGTAGCACTGCACTTCCCAGCTGCCTTAACCCCACCCCCACCCCACCCCCACCCCGTGTTGCCAGGTAAATGAAACACAAAAGAGCTCAATAGTAAATTATTTTGTTCAGCCTTCTGTCTTTTTATGAAAATAAAAGCCAACACTTTGTCATTTTTAATCGCATAAGCAGACAATAAATCTAATTTCGATATTGATTTTTTTTTCTAGAATCAAGTGATTTTTTTTTCTTTTGCAGTCTGTTGTGTTTCCTTTCTGAAAGGCTCATTGCTTGTGGACCCTGTGGTGACGAGGCCCGTGGATCCTGTGTTTGTGTGCGGGAACGGGGGCAGGCGCCTCTGAAACACGAAGTTCGCTGGGGACCTGAAAAGAGATTTTTTTTTTTCCTCAGTAGCAGGAAGTTTGGCTTTGGTCTAACTCTCCGGAGATCGGTTTCACCTTAACCACCTGAAGTAGAACGAAGGCTCATCTGGATAGTTGAGTGGTTACAGCTTCTGAGATTCGTTTTAGTTTTCCCTTTAATTAACAAAATAAAGTAAAATACAAAAAATAATAATAATCACGGAGAAGTCTTGCTGATATCAGGAATTCGACGTGACACTGCGGGGGGGGGGTCCTAGAAACTCTTCCCAAATGGTGACAAGCCCAGGCTCCAACCAGACGAGCCTTGGCAGTAGCGAAAAACCTAGCAGAGAAGCTTCACCGGGCATCGGGGAGAAAAGGAGCGAGGAATCACTGAAGCGCAGGTGGGCCCTTGGTTCACCTGCCCCTCCTTCTTCAAAAACAGGCCTGGAGGTAGCAGGGGGAGAGTGGGAAAAAGGACAGAGGGGCCTAGGAAGAAAATTGAAAGAAAGGGGATGACTCGAAAGACCGAAAGGAAACGGAGCAGGAAGGGAGGGAGAGTGTCTTAAAAGACCAAATTGACCACAAAAAAATAATAATAATAATAATACAAAATCACCCCTATTTCTGAAGAAAACTGTGGTCGACCGCGCCGGACGTCTCCCGTCCCTTTTCGGCTCCAGTCCCCACTTTTCACTTGAGCCAGGATGCGCCAGAACCGCCGCCAGGCCTGCCTGCCCGCAGCCATGGCTGTCAGGGTCACCACGACCTCCGCCCCCCCCCCCAGGCCTGTCCTCGTGCTGGGGGAGGGGACGGGGAGGATGAGAGCCATGCAGAGGGGGGAGGGGACCACGGGCTCACGGCGGTCCCTCCCGCCCTGACCTTTCCTGATGCCCCGCAGGGTCAGGATGTGACCTTTCGGGCATCCGCGCCGCTGTGCTCGTCCTCCCTCGCTGTGGCCTCGGCCAGGGGACAGGGAGAGGGGTCGATGCCGGGGCTGTCAGCCTCAGTGGCCCCAGAGGACCCGACGTGGGTGAAGACCCGAGCCCTCCTGCTCTGCGTGCCCAGAGCGCCCGGGCTGCGGCCGGGGTAAACTCGGAGGAGAGCAGAGGGATGGGGGGCGGGGGACGGGTGAGGATGGGGGATGCAGGGCCTGGGCGCCCTGCGGGGTCTCCAACAGTCTTTCCATCCCTAGGGCCGCGGCGAGGTGCGTGTCCAGCGGACCCTGGGCCCCCACGAGGCCCGCAGCGTTTGACACCACCCCCACCCGCTTCGGGGACTGATGCCAAGCCAACACCAGGAAAGGCCCAGGCTAGAAGTCCTGGCCCCAGAGGTGCGGCCTCCCGTCCCTTCGCGGACAGTGGGTGTCCGCCTCGCCCGCCGGTCCCCTTCCACCCACTTCCAGAATCTTCGGTCAACGGCGCCTCCAGAGGCTCCTTCAGCAGGGAACCGGGAAGAGGGGCCGCGCACCGGAGGCTCAGGCCGCTGGAGAGCACCCGGCCCCCCAGCTCTCCACGGCCTGGGGTTTTCGCGGTCTCCCCAGCTGGAGCCAGGGCCGTCAGTAGCCGAGAGCCGTTAGGTTCAAATGCATCAAGGTTTCCGAAGTTATTTATCCGGGTTTCATAAATAATTTTCTCCTTACACTTAAGCCCGATTCCTGCCTGCCCCCTTCCCGTTTTTTTTATTGCGGGGTTTCAGTGGCTAAAAAGTTTCCAAGGCGGTGGGCGGCTGTGCCCCCTTTTTTTCCCTCATTAATGTCATTACTACGAACTATCAATAACCTTGTCGTTGGGAGCCGAGTTTCGCCGTATTGATCCGCGCAGCTATTCATCTCTGCCATGCAAGACACGGAATAATTTTCGCATTACAGTAGCTTGGATTTGCTTTTAATTCATATTTAAAGCTGCAACCGGCTCAGTGGAGCGCTCTGCGAGAGACTGGAGGCGCCTAATTAATAATAAGTCAGAAACGAAGGAAGGCACCGGCGAATAAATAATTAATACAGACATCTATGTCTCTTTGAATATTACTCCTTTAAAAATTTAGGCTTACCAGGACTGTACTGTAAGTCTGCCATTTATATTGCGGAGATGATTTAAGAAAGCTATTTTTTCCCTTGAAATACAATAATGAATTATTTATGGTGTTTTGCAAACCTAAGTTCCTTCATTAGCCGGGCCCCTCTATTTTGTTTCTTTCGGGCGGAAAACACCATTTTTTAAAAATAATTATTACAATAAACTCCCAGCAAGAACCGCCAGCTGACATTAGATTCAGGATAGCTAGAATAGACACCAAAAGCCTGAGAAGATCGGAAGTGTGGGGTCCCCTACTCTGGGAAGATGCTGGAATCTACCACATACAGAGTTTTGTCCAGGAGAGAAACAAAATCCAGAATATTGTCCGGTGACCTTAGGTATTTGCTGGTGCCCAATGGGACAGATTTTGGAGAACTTGAGGTCCTGAGATGGTCCTGAAGTGGCTCTCCACATATATACCCACGATGAAAGGTTGGGGGAGGATGGAATTTTAGAGACGGCTATTAAAAAGTTGGAGGTTACTTTCACAGTAGCCAGGAGCTACTATGAGCTGCCTCGGAGATTAACAAAATTCAAGGCGATGGGAGTGATTGAAAATCTGAGGAGGTTTTTGTGTGAGATGGACTAAGATTTGTTTGCAATGTTGTTAGCGATATTGATTTTTTTTTTTTGTTACTTGGATTAATGTATGTTAAACAGGAAAATACGGGCATTAGTCAAGTACATTATGACCATCTATTGTTGGGAGGAAGGTTTCTCAGGTGATGTAGGGAACAGGGTGCCGGTTAGTTCCAGGGAGGTGGGAATCCTCTGGAGTATTTGGGGCATCTGGAACAGCCACGGTGGGGGACAGAATCGCCTTCAGTCCCACCTCCCACCCACCCTCTCCTGGTACAGTTACAGCCTAGTATTCAATAAAAGCTCCGCGCGGGTATGTGAGCCCCACTGCCGACCCCCTCCCCCTCCTTAAAGGAAGGAAAGAGGGCGCAGGTGGGTGGGTATTGCCAAGTTTCTCGCCTGCACGTCCACATTCCCACAGCCCCACCTCTATGTCTCTTAGCCCCACGGACAATCGTCTGGGACCTCATCTCAGGCGTGGGGACTCCAGAGGTGAAGCATTCCCGCATCCACGCAGCTACACACACACACACACACACACACACACACACACACACACACACACACGTGTGAAGTGGGCTGCAAGAGTCCGGAGGCCCTGTGGACCAGAGAAGCTTGCATCTGGTAGACAGCTGCCTGCCCTGTGGGTACCCCTCTTGCGTTGGCTCTTCTTTAGTCCCGCCGCAGCCTGGCACAGCCTTCTCCACAGCCAGGTGATGATGGGATGTGGACCAAAGCTTGTGTGCTCTACCTTCTCCTTTTAACGCGAGAGAGACAGACAGACAGACACAGACAGAGACGGAGAGAGAATCCAATTGTTTGCATGTATGGAGCAAGACCCCTAACGCATGCAAGACCCACACACACACACCTAGGCCAAGGTCTTTTCCCCACCTCCACAGAAACTAGAGGTCAAGCACAGAAGCCTTGCGTCTTAGGTTATGAAAGGCGTATAAAGGCTGAGGTCTGGGCCTGGGCGTTGGGATGGATGGGGGACTTTGGTCCAGTCCATAATCCTACAGCCGGATGGCGCTCAGGCTAAAGGGCCTTCCCGCAGAGTCTCTGGGTCAGAGACCAAGGGTGAGGACAGACCAATAAGGTGGCTGATTTGTGAAAGGCAGGCCAGGACGGAAGTGAGGGGGACGAGGGGTCGGGGGACGGGGACTGAAGTATGGAGAGTGAAGGACAAAGACAGAGATGAGTCTCCCCTTGGAGAAAGCAAAAGCCAAACCCAGCGGCGCAGGCCGAGAGGAGGGAGGCGCAAGCAACGGGGCAGGCGTTCAGAACACCTGCGTTTTATTTTTAAATCTTCTAGGTGTCTGCGGGTCAAATAAAGACAAGGGCAGTAACGATTATTCTGTTAAATCTATGGTACTTGACTGCGCAAACACTAATTGATTAGACACCAAAATGATTTGTTTAAAGAGTTTTCCTCCTTCCCAAGTGCAGCTGTTCTGGGCCTGCGTCGGCGTTGCCAGGCGACTCTAGAGTTCGCCAAGTGGGCGTGAGTAGGCCCGGCTTAGGGTAGTACTTGGCTGGCCCAAGCCCTGCGCAGCCCGAGGCTCCCGGCTGGGCGGTGGCTGGTGACTGCTGCTTCCTAATTATCACCAGAGTCGGAGAAGAATATTGTACTGGAGAGAGCATCGCGAGTACACGTAGCCTTCCGTTCACCCATCTGAGCCTTTCTTACTTTTGGTCGCTTGGAATGGCACCAAGGTGCGGGCCCTCACCCCCAGCCCCTTCCTTTCCAATGTCCAGCTTTGGCACTCTCTACCACCCGAAGGCCAGTGCTAACCCATCGCAGACCCCCAAAAGGGGAGGGCTGAAAAAGGAACGTTCGCCGTTAGCCACCCCAAATCTGGAAAACTCCACTGGCTTCCTCGCAGGGTTCCTCCTCCGTTAATATAAAATTACGACCACGAGACACAGCCCACTGAAGGCCAGACCACGCAAGACCGATTTCCCCGGGAGTCAGGCTAACCTGTGCGCCCCCGCCACCCGTCACCCAGGAGGCAGAAGCCTCCCCCTCAGTCCCACGGCCACTGCGGACACCCCTCAGCGCCTTTGCCGAAGCAGGCGATCTCCCCAGAAAGTTTCAGCCCAGAGGAATCCGCTGGTAGTTCATCCAGCTTCCCAGGAGAGCAAGCGGTTTTCTTGCTTGCCCAGGAAGTAACCGGAGAGGCTCGGCTAGTGGTCAGTTTTCAGACCGCCACCGAGGTGGCTCCAAGCAGTTCCTGGAACTCTGTGTTAGCGGGGTTGGAGGGAGCCGAGCGCCCTTCCGCGGGCGTCATCTTTGGGGATGGGGGTGGGTGGGTGAGAGATGAAAGAATTGGTGGTGCAAAAGGGTTTAAAAATCATTTCCACTCGCAAAAGGATGTTTAGGAAGGAAAGGGGGATAACTGAACAGACGAATTAAAACTGCACGGACACTAAACGCAGAAGCAAAGCTTGAAGCGGAGTGTTGGAGCACTCCTTCCACAGGGATGAGACAGACAGACGGCACACCTCACGGAACTGAAAACTAATTTTGTTATTTTTGTTGTTTTCAACACTACACCATCAGACCACTTTTTTTCTTGCAAATTATTGCCTATTCTCAGCCAACAGCAATTTTCGGAAGAAACTTCTCCAGAGAGGTGGAAAGACTCCAGAGGAAGACGGGAGGACCCTGCAGGAAGCATCTAGAATCAGGTCTCTCGCCGCCTTTAACCCGGGCTCTGCTGTAGCCCGGCGCCATTGGCCTGCCCCTCCCCCGGGGAGTTTCATTCTAGACTCTGCAAAGCCTCCAAAGTGCTGGCTGGCTTGGCTGTAGCCAAGTGTCTCTCGCCCTGAAACCCTGCGTAGAAACACTTTCTAAACCCCAGGACTGCCGGACACCGAATAGCAACTGAGCACCCGATGGCCCAAAGAAACTAGAAACATTTCTTTTGAATGGTCCATATGTTCCTTCTCTCCTGGTCACAAAGCGAGCTAAGCCCATGAACTCTGACTCTTCACCGTCCTAAGAGAGCCTTGCGTGGCCAGCATTTACAAGAATGGCCTTTCCCCCAAGTCTGATTGTGTTGCCTTGCAAATTGTAGCCTATCTAGCAGAGGACAAATTTCATCTCCCCCCCCACACACACACACACGCACATACACACACTTAAGACATTACAAAGATAAACATCAGTGGTAGAGCCTTCGCCTAGCTCAAGGCCCTAGGTTCAATCCCCAGTAGCACCAAAGTTGGTTTCCAACGTGAAACTTCTGCATCGAGCATCTATTTGAGCCTTCAGCCCGTTTTTCAACGTGTACTTTCAGATAATTTTTGGTGTTAATTTTTTCTTTAACTCTCCTTCAGTTGCTTAGAGCTGAAGCTGTTAACTATAACTCCTTCTTCCCTCTGCCTCACACACTTACCTGCCCAGAGTCGAGGAATTCTTCCAGAGACTCTAATGCTTTCTTCCCTCGGAGTACATCTAAGGGGCCAAGCTTTTTGCTGGGCACTCTGAGAAGGGAAGAAGACAAGATGACAACAGGTAAATTCAGTCCCCTAGCATCTGACGGTCCCTCAGAGGCCAGGAAAAAAAAAGTCCTTTCTACCCACCTTACAGGAAATGCTTCTGAGAGGTCAATGCCTTGACTCACCAACAACAGAAAAACAGTGCTTCAATGAAAGGTGTGAAACAGAGGAGGGGGAAGGAGGGAGAGAAGGAGAAGGAGGAAGATTTGCAAACCAAGTTCTGCCTTGCAAGACTGTGATTGTAAGGGGTTAGGATGCCACACACTGAGGTAGGTGAGCAAGGCTGAAACAAGCCACCTTTTTGACAAAGTCCCCTGCTGGCATGGGGACTTGATCCCACCCTCTTCAGGTAGGCTCCAGGGGCTCAGCCAGGAGGACTTTCCAAGATCCGGTCTTCAATTAACTGGAAGAGGATAACACCATGAACAATTTGTGTACCAATTTCTTTCATTTTTTTTTTAAAGGAATTGTTTTTCAAGAAGAGATGGCCACAAGGGCAGATCAATCATTTCAATGGGACTAAAATATGGCGGCAGAAACAGCTGAGCTGAGATTGCTTCAACCACCCTTTGATCTTATAGGAAAGGCAAGTTCTCTATAGAAAAGGAAAGGGATTAGAAAAAATAAAAAAATAAAAATGAAGAAACGTGCATTTGGCTGATTCACTGGATAGAAAATGTTTTATGCTTGAATGAGTCTGAAGAGATGATAAAGAAATGAATTAATTTTGGTTTGGGCCAATATATTTTCCCCTCAATGACCTTTTCCTAGGGCGTGGGGGGGGGGGCACTCCAGATTCCTAAAAGATCATGACCAAGTGGACAATAAGTAGGATCCACAAGAGTTTTTGGGGTAGGATAGAGGTGTTTCTGAGGATGAGAACCAGCAGAATTAGTCTTCTAGGAATGCTTAGTGTACCGACTGACCTTGAGTGACCTGGAGTGATTTTGTGCTGTTGGTGGCAGGGACCTAGGCTGAGAGATGAACTCGTCTATGCCTTAGCTGATGGTATTTTCGGCCCCAGAATTGACCATACCAGAATTTCCTCTTTGACCCTACCACCTCGACTCAGTCCTAGGCTCTCTGAAAACCGTCAGAGGGAAACACAGGCGGTGGGCTCTGTGTTTGGCGCAGAGCAGGCCTCACCGAGTTTGTTAGTAGCTGAGCCCTGAAAACCCCGCTCTGAGGCTCTCCTTATTGTGAACACCGCTAGCCCCGGGCTGAGGCTCCGGCGCTGACCCGGCCTAACTGCCAAGGGCCTGACAATGGGCACATCTGTCCTTTCTCCGAGGGATAAAAGCACCTAAGCAGACAAGGCTCTGCCTTTTGTTACGGACTTTTTTCTTTCTTTCTTTTGTAAATAAAAGAAAGCCGCGGCATGTGGCGGCCGGGTGTGTGTCCCACACAGGGGGCCTCCCCACGCGTCCCCACCAAGCCTAAGGCCCGGGTTCAATCCCGGATTGGAGCGTGACTGTGACAGGGGCGCAATTATGCCCAAAGCTGAATTGATTTTCAAATCTGGAGGCTTCTTGCAGGGACGCTTAGGAAGAGGAAAGCGTCCCTGCGGGCCAAGCCGAGGCCTGCGCTGCCGCGTGCGCCCTGCCCGCGTGGGGACGTCCAAGCTGCAGCCGCGGCCTCTGGGTGCTTTTCTAGGGAGGCTGCGGAGTGACTGAAAGACCAGCCACCCCCCCCCCCCAGGGTGGACCATCGAGGCACTCTCTCCCGTCTCCTTCAGGAAACCCGAGCAGAGTTAACCCAGGCAGGGCGTCGCCTTAACGGGGGGGGGGGGGGGGGGAGGGGGAGAGGGCACGGCGGAAGGTCCCCGGGGTCTGGGACAGCGGAGGGGTGGCCTCCATCCCGACTCTGGGCGCTGAGGGCTCCTCTTTCCCACGATGGGGAGAGGCGGGCCCGAGGGGCGCTGGAAAGAGTGTGGGCTCAACAGCGGCCGGGCTGCCCCAGGTCGTCAAGGATCACCGCCCCCCCGGGGGCCCCGGAGGCCAAGCATTTAAGGATGAGGACGGAGCCGGCCCCCAGGGACCCTCCAGGGGATGAAGCCCAATGGGGCAAATGGGCGAAGGCCTGGGCGCAGCCCCCAGCTCCCCGCGGGGAACCTGCCCCGGGGAAACAGCAACTCGGACCCAGGGCCCCCGGCTCTCCCCCATCTGGCCGGCCCACGGGGATCGAAACCGGGCAGAAAAATCTGGCCGGGGAGAGAGAGAGAGAGAGAAAAGAGAAGGAAGTGAGGAAGAGCGGGATGGGGTGGGGGGAGGATGTCCCTCTCGGATGACCGCCGCGGCGGCTCCGGGGGACGCTCCGCGCGCGTCCCGGGCACGTGCTCACGGCCCCCGGGCCCTCGGGCGCCGCCGAGAGAGCCCCGGGCGCCCCCGCCCCCTCCCGCGACCCCCCCACCGCAGACCCATTTGGACTGGGACGTCACGAAGCCCGGGCGCCGGGGCCGAGGGGGCGGGGCCTGCGGGCGCGCATGCGCGCTGCGCCCGGCAGGCGGGAGGGCGGGCGGCGGGCAGCGGGCGGCGGCGGCGGCGGCGGCGGCGGCCAGGGGGATCGCGGCCACAGTCTGCCACAGTAACCGAGCCATGGCTCGAGCCGGCGGGCGGCACGGCCAGGCAGCGGGCGCGGCAGGCGAGCGGGCCGCAGCAGGGGAGCCGGGGGCAGCGGGATTCTAGGAAGGAGAGGGGCGAGAGGGGCTGGGCCGGGCGCGCGTGGGGCACCCGCGCTCTCCCAACAGCGCGGATCCTTTTTGGAAATTAATATTAAAAAAAGGAAAAAAAAAAAAAAAACAACCGGAGGGAAGGTGGGAGCCGGAGAGGAGGCGAGCCACGCAGACACACACACGCACGCTCCAGAGCGAGAGCCGAGCATCCCGACCGGGAGAGGACGAGCAGGCCCCGGTCGCCGGCGGCGGCCCACGCGAAGCCCGGACCCCGCGCGCCCCTCGCCGCCTCTGCCCGGCCACATCGATGAGGCAGCCCGCTCGCCCGCAGCACAATGAACGCGCAGCTGAGCATGGAGGCGATCGGCGAGCTGCACGGGGTGAGCCATGAGCCGGTGCCCGCCCCCGCCGACCTGCTGGGCGGCAGCCCGCACTCGCGCGGCTCCGTGGGGCACCGCGGCGGCGGCCACCTGCCCCCCGCGCACCCGCGCGCCATGGGCATGGCGTCCCTGCTGGACGGCGGCGGCGGCGGCGGAGGCGGCGACTACCACCACCACCACCGAGCCCCCGAGCACAGCCTGGCCGGCCCCCTGCACCCCACCATGACCATGGCCTGTGAGACTCCCCCAGGTATGAGCATGCCCACCACCTACACCACCTTGACCCCTCTGCAGCCGCTGCCGCCCATCTCCACGGTGTCCGACAAGTTCCCCCACCACCATCACCACCACCACCACCACCACCACCCGCACCACCACCAGCGCCTGGCGGGCAACGTGAGCGGGAGTTTCACGCTCATGCGGGACGAGCGCGGGCTGGCGTCCATGAATAACCTCTACACCCCCTACCACAAGGACGTGGCTGGCATGGGCCAGAGCCTCTCGCCCCTCTCTGGCTCCGGTCTGGGCAGCATCCACAACTCCCAGCAAGGGCTTCCCCACTATGCCCACCCCGGCGCGGCTATGCCCACCGACAAGATGCTCACCCCCAACGGCTTTGAAGCCCACCACCCTGCCATCCTCGGTCGCCACGGGGAACAGCACCTCACGCCCACCTCCGCCGGCATGGTGCCCATCAACGGCCTTCCTCCTCACCATCCCCATGCCCACCTGAACGCCCAGGGCCACGGACAGCTCCTGGGCACGGCCCGGGAGCCCAACCCTTCGGTGACCGGCGCGCAGGTCAGCAATGGAAGTAATTCAGGGCAGATGGAGGAGATCAATACCAAAGAGGTGGCGCAGCGCATCACCACCGAGCTCAAGCGTTACAGCATCCCGCAGGCCATCTTCGCGCAGAGGGTGCTCTGCCGTTCCCAGGGGACCCTCTCGGACCTGCTGCGAAACCCCAAGCCCTGGAGCAAACTCAAGTCCGGCCGGGAGACATTCCGGAGGATGTGGAAGTGGCTGCAGGAGCCGGAGTTCCAGCGCATGTCTGCGCTCCGCTTGGCAGGTGAGCCCAGCCGGATGGGCGACGGGGCGCGTGGGCGAGATGAGGGACCGAAGGTGGGAGGGAGCGAGGAAAGGCCAGGCGCGCTTCGCCCCGCTCCGCCTCCCCTTCCTCCAAGAGGGGTGTCCCTGGACCTGGGAGAGCCAGCTCGGGGAGCCAGCCTCCTCCTCCTCCTCGGGACGGGGGCTAGGTGCTTCGTGGGAGGCCTCGCGGACCTCTGCGACTCCGGGGTTGCCTCCGTGCTCGGGGACAGAGCCGCGAGGTTTCCAGCCACAGGCCGAGGGTTTCTAGGAACCTGGCCGAGCACCGCGGGTTTTGGAAAAGGGACGGATCCTGCCTGGAACCGGCTCCGGTTGCCCGGGACATCCACCCGGCGCGCGGATCGGTGGTCTCTCAAGCGGCCAGGCAGTATTTGGCCAAGCTGGCTGCGGAGAGCCACTCTCGCCCTGTTTTCTCGGCACCGCGTGCTGGGGGAACCGCACTTCAGTTAGGGTGTGTACACAGATTCCAAAACCTGCCAGCGATGGGCAGCTTCGGGAGGGTTATCACACAGGGGCTGAGCGTGTGACGGGCTGTGGAAAGGAGGGAGACAGAGGCGGACAGGAATCGCGTCCTCCCCCCCCCCCATGAAGCTCCCGGTTGAGCCTAGGGACCCACAGATGACAACTCGCATTTTCGTCCTCGTGATTTTTTTTTTCAACTAAGTCTCTTGTGTTCCTGGGTGGGGATGTGTAGATGTCCTTCACATCAGCAAGCCTGTCTTCTCACTTCGAAATCCCTAGCAGGCGGTTTGAGCACTAAAAGTCTCAGCTGCCAAGTGCAGGCGCCAGGCCTGGCTCCTTGATGTGGGCCGGGAGACCTAGCGCACGGCTGAAGCCAGCTGGGACCGCACGGGGGGTTCAGGCACACTCGGCGACCCGAGGAGAGGGCAGCCCAGGGGCAGACTGTGTTCGCGAGCCCTGGGCGGAGGGTGCCGCCTTGATTGACTCCAGTGTGCACGGCCCCCCACCACACACACACACACACACACACACACACACACAACCCCCACCCCTGCCCCAAGCCACACACAGCCTCATCTGAGCCCTGCGCCCAGGTCTCAGTCTTGGTGAAGAGAAAGGTAAACGCTGGAATGAGGGTTTGTTAATTAACTGATCGTTCTCCATTAATTCGTCCCTAGAGAATGAGAGACAGTCAATCCGCCCTGAGCCGAGGGCACTGAGCCGTTTCACAGACTAAAATCAAAGCTTGAGGCCGAACCACCCTCCCTCCCCCCACCCGGTGCCTGCCAATGAGAAGCTGGGGAGAGGCAGGTGCGGACTAGCCTAGGATCCTAGCCCGCTAGCCTACCCTAGTGTCCCCTGCCTCTGACATCCAGAGGCCTTTGGTCATGGGCACCCGCGCTGCTTCAGCCTCTTTCCGGCATAGCTAAGTCCTTTGCTGTCAAGTTCTCAAGGCGGGCTCGGGTTGGTGCGCCCAGGATTCTGATGAGGCAATGGGCAGGAGACCCGGGCTCACGGAATGCCATTCCTAAGCTCCGCGGTTCTTTTGGGTAGCACTCCTGGTAGAACTGGAGCCCCTGGTGGGCCCCTTGCTGCCCCTCCCCCGCGGGCAGCTGATCTTGCTGCCCTCCCGAATGGCCCATTTTCAGACCTGTCCAATGCACCCTCTTGAAGCCAGTGCTCAGGACCTTCCAGGCAGGTAGGGCTAGCCAGTGTGGGGCTCGGAAGGGTGGATAAAAAGCGTCCTCCCTCACCAGAGTCACATCCCACTACTCCAGACATCAGTGACCCTACACACGATCCTTTGTCACACCCTGGAAGGACAAACTGAGAGGTCCTGTACCAAGATGGTTGCCTAGTCCTGGAAATCTAACCTCTCCATCCTGTTCGAGGCCCTCTGACCTCCAGATAAGAAAACCGAGCCGGGATAGGGGCATGCACAGTACTGGGGAGCCCTGTGAAGGAAGACCAAGTTCTAGAACCTGCAACCGAAGGCATGAGTTGGGTGCTGAGCAGGTGCTCATGGGACCCGAAAGGTCATCAAAGGTGTGTCCACACACCTAGGCTCTGTTATTCTTGGTTCCAGGCATGTGGCCTTTTCGTAGATGAATGTGGAGAGATGGAGGCTCTAGCAAACAGAAAACCCAAGGACGGTGGATGTCCTGATGTCCTGAGACAGAGCAGAACACGGCCTCTTTCTTTCTTTCTTTCTTTCTTTCTTTCTTTCTTTCTTTCTTTCTTCTGTTTGTTTCTTTACCATCAAGAAGTGAGAAGGATTAGACCTAAGTCTGCAGTGAGGAGGTGAGCGTGGCTCAGTCAAGGAACCCAGAACCACCCCGCTCTGCCTCAAAAGTCACAGCCTATTTCTGAATTACAGCAGCCGGCCCTGCTCAATGCCATCTTTCTTTCTTAAGAGAAGTCGGGGGGGGGGGGGGGGCTCAGTGGTGGAGCCTGAGTCCTGCCAGCCTGATGCCTTGCGGGGACTTGGCACCGGCTCCTCAACACCACTGCAGCTTTGCTAGCTGTGGCACTCAAAAGTAAACACCCGTCTTTTCTCAGCCCCCTTTGAAGGCCCAGGTGAGTTCCTTCGCTCTTTCTTGGAAGGGTCGTTTCTCCACTCCTCTCTCCTCCCTCCCCCCTCCCTCGTTCCACTTTGCTTCTTCGGAGGGTCAAAAATCTTCTGCACGTGGCAGGATGTTTGGGGAGGCGCCTTTCTGGTGTATAAATTACAAGCGCTGGTGAAAGACTGGAGGAAATTCTCACCAAATTAACTACCTTTTAAAAATCAATATATGTTGCCTCAACGTAATGCTTGCTTGCTGCTCATTAAAACGCAGCGTGACCCAGACGCGCACGCACGGCCGGCTTCTGGTCCCGAGTGGGGTTGGGGAAGCTAAGCGGGGTGCCCCGCCTCTGACGTGGGCGTCTATCAAGACAGGAGGAGATTAGTTCCCAATTAAATATTCCAGAAGGCGTCGGGGCCCCTCGACGGGAGTTGGCAGCTCAGAGACAGACCGCAAGAGCCACCTACCAGTGAGTTCAGCTCTGGCACTGTGCACCCAGGCGGTGGGGGCTCGGGTCCTCAGCCCAGGCAAGGCTGGGTGCTGGCCACGCAGAGCCTGCGGGAGGTGAGGAGCCCTCCAGAGCCCCGCGTGAAGATGGCCTGCCCGCAGCACGCGGCACTTCGCCCCCTTGCGGTCGGGTATTTGCCCCTCAGTGTTAGAGGAAAGTGGGGGTGAGTAACGGGGTTGGGGGGAGGGGGTCCCAGCTGGAAGTGGCCCTGAGAAAAGTCTTGCCCAACCCAACCTGGGCCCGTGTTTGCAGTGAGTGGCCTTGCGGCCTGGTTGATTGGTAACTGGCTTTGCACACGTCCATTTGCTCTCGTGTTAATATTTATCCCGACCGGTGACATTTCAAGTGTCCCGTGTTAGCCAGGCAGTGAGAGCCAGCTTTGGCGAACCACCCCCCGCCCCGAGGATTCTGGGTGGAGGGAAAGAGAGAGGCCAGAACTGGGCCGAAGAGATGCCAGGGGCTGGAGGGGCTCCTGGGCTGCGGAGATGGGGGAGAAGGCGGAGCCGCCGCCCCGGTTGGTTCCCTGGCTTTTTCGCGGTGCAGCTGCTCCTGGCCTGCTGCAGCTCGAACAAAGGGCCGGCAGGGCGCGACCGACCGTGTCCGCCTGGGAGGCTGGGGTCAAGGCCTGGGATGGCTTTCTCCCAGCGTGGCCAGGGGATAACCCGTTATCAGGAGACAACCGAGGGTCCCGGGGCGTTCAGGGATGAGCGGTGGGGGTCAGCTGGGGTAGTCGGAACACACACACACACACACACACACACACACACACACACACACGGCGAATGTGAAGTCAGGAAGACTTGGGGGCAGACTCCATCCCCTCGGTGGGATGACAGTTGTCTTTGTGTATTTTTTTTTTCGTTGCGGTACCCACATCCCACGAGGAGAGGGGACGCAGCGAGGTCTGAGAGGGTGCCTGTGGCAACCATTAGCCAGTGTGGCTTTTGGTGCGCCCTAAGCCTAGCTCATCAGACCTGGTGGCTGTGACGCGGTGACCCCAGTGGGCGACGCAGAGAGAACAGCCACCAGGAACAAAACCCACGGCGTGTTTAGAAGCTGCCTACCTGCCCTCCCCGCCCCCCCCCCCCAAAAAAAAAAAAACACCGCAGCCTGGAGCTTTGGATATCCTGAGTGTCAACCCAGGGGCCAGGGGACCGCTGTCACAACCGAGCCGGTTACAAGGGACAGGGAGGACACTGCCGTTAGTACGGGTGTGCCGTAGCGGCAACACCACCCGGAGCCCACAACGTGGCTGCCCTCGAAGCTTTCTGCCGTCCGCGAGTCTGGCAGAGGCAGAGGTGAGCTGGCTTCGCTCCGGGACCTGGGAGCCCTGGCTCGCCGCGCTCCAGCCGCGGCGCGGAGGACGCCGCGAGCTCCCCCTAGCGGCCGCCTGGCGGGGAGGCGGGAGATGGCGGTGGATGCTGGCTCGAGGCTTTGTTTTTAGAGCCTCGTTGTCCTCGAGACGTTCCGAGCAGCGAGCGCTCAGGCAGGGAGAAGATGTGGAGGAGAAAGAGGTTGCCCGAGGAAAGCCCCCTCTAGGGAGACGTGGTTTCCTTCCTTGCCGATTACACCCCGGATTCCGAACTACCCAGAAAAGGTGAATGCTTCGACTCCGTGCCCGGATTGTGCTCTCTGACATTTTTTTTTTTTTTTTTTTTCACCTGAGACGAGCAGGGGTGACCCTGGCGGCCTGCAGTCGGAGGCTGGGACCAGAAGAGTCTGCACAGATTAGCAGTCCCTTTGTTTTGCTTGCTTCCCAGCAAACTGGCCTGAGTGAGTCCGAAGGCAGCCTCCGGGCCCTAAGCTTGGAAGCCTTTGTTTTCCCCTCCCGAGAGGTGAGAGAAAGGGCTGGGGAAGCCTGCAGGCTTAAGGCCCTGGCTCAGAGTCAGGACCCTGGACAGAGCCGCACTGCCGCGGGCGATGCTGGAA